GGAAGCTTCTCTCTCTCTCTCTCTTAAGTAGAATAACGTCGAGCATACTCGATTTAGAAATCGAAGAGATACGAAAAGAATCACTCGCGTTCGCGTTCGCGACAGAAATGCGAATTGAAGGAGAATCAAACTAGAATATCGAGCGATATGAACTCGTGTCTCAGGTATTCGTCGCCCAGAGGAAGTCCCGCGCATTCGGTGACAAGCCCGACGACAACGACGACGACGACGACGACAACAACGAGTGGCGTCGCGACGACACCGGCCGGCTACACCAGCAGGTTCGTAGCACACGTAGATCACGGTCAGAATCATCATCAGGCCAATTCTGATTCCAATAACCCCCACGACCGTAATCGTTTTAGGACGTTTAGTGACGAACACGATGAACCGTCAACCGTCGATCGTGTCGAGGTGGACGGGCTCGCGGCTACGAACGCGGATTACGATACTGACGGATCGATGGTTGTTGTTAAACCGCAGTCGAACAACGAACGGACCCACGTACCGGACGATAGTACGGACACCGACGAGACCGTCACCTCATCCTCCTCCTCCTCCGCGGCCAGATCCAAAAGTCTCGAAGGTAGCGGTAACGATAGAGATAGTCGGATAGAGAACCGCAGCGTGGTCAACGAAGACGCGTTAGTGGAAGGTCGTTCGGGGAACGACGTGAACTCTTCGTTATCCGCTCGGATCGAGCGACTGGTGTCGCTTGCTCGGCCGTTTGCTGCCCCACATAGCGGATATCAGCCGGATCACGGGATCGCGAGTTTCGACGAATCTCTGGGAATCTCGCGACGAACAGCCATCAAGAGGGCCGAGTGCGCGAACGGGCCCAGCGATCGTTTCGAAGAGAACGTGCAATCGAATTCGGAGAGCGAATCCGGGAGCACTACCGACAACAGTTCGGAAACGGACGAGAAAGAGGAATCCATAGACGAGAATAGCAACGTAAAGAATAAAAAGACTGAAAGTCCAGATCGAGGTCGTACTCCATCGCCAGAGCGAAGTGCGCCACGCGAGGACGATTCCAGCGAGGACCAGTCGACGACCAGTTCCGAGACCGATCACGACCGGATCACCGTGTCAAACGTACCGTCCAACTCTCATTCCGAAGACAGTCACACGCTTCTGGAGCGATACGACGACAGAAGCGCCAAGCGGCGAAGTTCCTCCATACTCGAGGAGAAAAGTATCGAGGAGCTGTTCGACGACAACGGATGGGTGATTACCGATCAGGATCTGCAGACAGAGAACCCTCGGAGAATCTCAAAAAGTTTCGAGTCGATCGATCCCGACGACGACTCTCTCGGTTTAAAGATCGAGGAGAAGACTGACGACGACAACGACGACGACGAGTCGTCTGACAAACTTCGAGGCAACGACGAGACGACGACCGACAAAGTGGATGTTCCACGGGACCACGGAACAACCAAAAATGGAAAAGCATCGAACACGTCGGAGTCGTCCGAAAGTCTGTCGAGAAGTCGTGTGTACAGACAAAGCAGCATCGGCAAGAACGGTTGGCTCGTGTCCGACGAGTCCGAGACCGAGTCCGACAGGGCCGTTTCGCCAGTGGTGGGAATCCCCAACGGAGAGACGGAGAATTGGAGGAATCCAGTGAGTATGGAGAACGAGCGAGTGAGTCGCGACGGTCCGTCGACGCCAGTGTCGACGAACGAGAAAGAAAGTGGCAGAGACTCGATGGTGGTGCCGGATAATAACCCGGAAGAGAACGGGTGGGTGATCTTGAACAAGGTGAACGACTCGTCTTCCGGGAAAGACGTTGAGGGCGCGAGCACGAACGAGACGAGCACGATTCGTTCCCAAACGACCGACCTCGTACGGAGAGCTAACGTTGAGAACGGCGCGTTAATCGCGAACGCTGCCCAATCGAAAGAGAGCGAAAGTCGCAACGAGGACGCGCCTGGTGTCGATATCGCTATACCGATGCAAATGGTAACCACCGTTTTCTGTGTGTCCGTACTGTGTTACAGCGTTCTAATCAATCTGTTCCTGTAACCACCTCTCTCTCTCTCTCTCTCTCTCT